ACTATCATTTAAAAACATGTATTCTTTATTAATTGATTTTAAAAAGAGGGAGATAACTCACAAGGTAGCCCGGGTGGGGTGTGGGAGGAGGGTAGGAGGGAAGGAAAAGGCCACTTTAAAACTTGTTGAATGCCAGTCTTCTGTTGCTTGGGCTGTCCATTGGGGTGGAGTGGTTGGGTGCCCGGAGCCTCCCACCCCGCGTTCTTGGGCGTCTGGGTGAGGAGGCTATGGAACTTGGGGAGGAGGGAGGGCGGTTAAGCAGGGGCTGCAGCGGCGGTCTGTGATCCTGCTGCCATTCATGAACCTCCACCAGATGCTGGAGCACGTCCATTTGATCCCGCAGTAGCCCCAGCATTTCCTCATACCTCCTCTGATCTTCCTGCCACCACCTCTGCTGACGTTCATCAGCCACCGTCCTGTACTCTGCTATTGTGTCCCTCCACACAGCTTTCTCAGTGCTGGACGACTGCATGAGCTCAGTGAACATGTCGCTGTCTTATCTGAGATAGCCTCTGGGAAGGAGGAGGCTTGAAACATTTGCAGCTGCTGGAGGAAAAAAAGGGAGTGAAGTATTTAAAAAGATACATTTTACAGAACCATGGCTATACTCTTTCACGGTGAACAACACTATTCACATTACATAGCACATGTGATTTGGGTCCAAGGTCGCATTTTGCATCTTATATTGAGTGCCTGCGGCTTTGGTGTTAGAGATCACACACGCAGGGCCAGGCAATAGAATTCGGCTTGCAGGCGGCCATGGTAAGCCATAGTCTTTCGGCTTCTGGAACCTTCATAACAGCAGCCCCCTCTTTTCCCATACCAAGCAACGCCCGTTGAGTTGGCCATTTACTGCTGCAGTTTTCCTGTTAACGTGCAGCAGCAGAAACTGAACTAACCCCCTCCCCCCATCCAATTCTCTGGGATGATCGCTTTTCCCCTCCCCCCACCGCCTGGCTGGTATCAGGGAAGATCCCTGCTAGCCAAACGTGAACAGCTCAGCGCCAATGGCCCCCACTCCCACCGTGTGGCTAACTGCGGGTAGGATTTCTTTTCAGCCACAGGCAAACAGCCCAGTTGGAACAGGCACCTCTGAATGTCCCCTTAATCAAATTCCCCTATTTCAACCAGGTTACCATGAACGATATCACTCTCCTGAGGATAACACAGAGAGATAAAGAACGGATTTTATTTGAATGCCAGCAAACACCGGGACCATACGCTGCCAGGTTTTGTCATGCAATGATACCAGATTACTTGCTACTAGCATGGCGTGGTAAAGTGTCCTACCACGGAGGACAGAATAAGGCTGCTCTCCCCAGAAACCTTCTGCAAAGGCTTTTAGAGTACCTCCAGGAGAGCTTCAAGGAGGTCTCCCTGGAAGATTTCCGCTCCATCCCCAGACATGTTAACAGACTTTTCCAGTAGCAGTACTGGCCACGAATGCATCCCAAGTCCTCAGGGCTAATTAATCATTAAAAAGCGCTTGCTTTTATAACGTGTATTATATTTAAAAAGGTACACTCACCAGAGGTCCCTTCTCCAGCTTCATTGGGTTGGGAGGATATTTCAGTCAGGATGATAAAAAGATCCTGGCTGCCGGGGAAAACGGTGTGCTGTGTGCTCTCCCCAAGCTCCTCGTCCTTCTCATCTTCCCCATCTGCAAAATCCTCAGGCATGGCGGAGAGTACCCCATCCTCAGAGTTCATGGACAGGGGTGGGGTAGTGGTGTCGGCCCCCCAGAATTGCATATAGCACAGCGTAGAAGCGGCATGTCTAGGGCTCTGTCCCGGAGCATCCGTTTGATTCTTTGATTTTCTGGTACGCTTGTCTGAGCTCTTTAAGTTTCATGCGGCACTGTGTTGCGTCCCTGATGTAGCCTCTGTCCCTCATGGCCTCTGAGATTTTTTGAAATGTTTTGGCATTTCGTCTTTTGGAACGTAGTTCTGATAGCACGGATTCCTCTCCCCATACAGCGGTCAGATCCCGTACCTCCCGTTCTGTCCATGCTGGAGCTCTTTTTCGATTGTGGGACTGCATGGTCACCTGTGCTGATGAGCTCACCTGGCCAAACAGGAAATGAGATTCAAAAGTTCCCTGGGGCATTTCCTGTACACCTGGCCAGTGCATCAGAGTTCAGAGTGCTGTCCAGAGTGGTCACAATGGTGCACTGAGGGATAGCTCCCGGAGGCCAATACCTTCGAATTGTGTCCACACTATAATTCGAAACGGCGATGTCGATTTCAGCGCTAATCCCCTCATTGGGGAGGAGTACAGAAATCGGTTTTAAGAGCCCTTTATGTTGAAAAAATGGCTTTGTTGTGTGGACGGGTGCAGGGTTAATTCGGATTTAATGCTGCTAAATCCGATATAAACTCGTAGTGTAGACCAGGCCTTAGAATTTTCATAAAGCTGTTGGGGAAAATTAAACTTTTGTTAACCTTCAGGCTTTTAGAACATTTTTAATTTTTAATGAGGAATTGCTGTATATATAGTTTTTAGTATATTAGAGTTGTGTTGTAAATGTTTCTTTAGTCAGTTGGATGATTGTAAGTCAGAACTAAGGTACATTGCCACAACTATTTGTGGAAGTGTGCATATATTTATTTTTGAGTTCTCTCTGAACAATTCCAGGTTCTTAGCTATTGAGAAATCTAGTTTTCCTCTTCAAGTTGAAGTCAGAAGTATTAAATGAAGTTAGTATGGACTGTCTGTGTTTTAACTGTGTTCCTGTAGATGAACATAGAGAATTCAAATATTGTCATTGAACGGACCTGAGCACATATTGGAAGATGTCTAATTTTATTCTTATCCTCAAGGTCAGCTAGCATCTTTGAATGCAGAAAAACATCATTTTCTGCAAATTTGTTCCTCAGTCATAACACTTAGGCAGGCGTACAAGTTTAAGCGCACATGTAGTTGCACTGAAGTCCATATGCATAAGTGTTTACAGGTTTGGGGCTTGAATTACCTTCTTTTCCTTTGAGCTTTTGGGGGGAAAAGCCAAGTTTTAGAGGCTGCACATCTGCAGTATTATCTAGTCTTGTGACAGTCAATTTATAAAAATCTGATTGAATGCAAAATGTGAGTAATTGCAAAGAAAACCACCATGTAAAAAAACTCACAGATTTTATTATTGAAGTGCTTGCAAACCAGTGTTACGTTGAAATAAATCTTCACATATCTGTAGCAAAGCTGAGGCATCCTACCAGAATATATCTTTAAGAAGTGATGCTGTTCAAATTAGAGTTTGAATAGCTGCAGCATACTTAAAATGGCTGCCAGCATGATCTATTACCCTCTTCCATGTATGGCATTTTGTTCATTTTTAGTATTCTTACAGGAACCTAAAATTATTCTATTTATATACAAATCAGTTATTCATCATATCCCCAGGATTCTCCTCATCTAGATTTTTTTTTTAATTGACAGTATTAGTAGTTTATTCCCTTAGTGTCAGATCCACCAGGTGCTGAACCTTTTCAGCTCCATTAGCTGCAATGGAAGGTGAGACTATTCAGCAGCTTGCTATATCAGCCCCTTAATAGACAGTGCATGCAATTAATAGACAGTGCATGTTGCAATTACACATTGCAACAGTTTAATAGGGAGATCAAAGAGTGATGCTTTTGTTTGCTAGGTCTGCAATTGCTTTACAATTCCCTTCCTAGTTTGCTGTTGTAAATTAGTCTTTCCTCTGTTGGCTTTTTTGTGAGGCATCAGTATTTATTCACTTCCACTTTCTTAGGGTTTTTTGACCATTTTTTATGTGGTGCGGAGTCTCAGGTGTTAGAGCCCAGAGTGTTCTATGCCTACGCAGTTGGCAAGGGCACATGCCAGAAGAGAATTGTGGTAGTACGTGCCAATCTAAGAGTAGGCAGGGACTGTGGGGATATAGTCATGATGATTTGTAGTTTTATTGCTGAACATCAAGTCATTCAAGAGATTTACTCACCGCACAAACCTCGATGCCAGAATATGTATTGATATTAGCTCTGAAAAAGAGGGTGATTACTGTAGGTGCTATGACAAGCTCTGCACCCCCTTGTAGCAATCATTCTGTTATCAGATTCTGAAGAGAAAGCAAGCACTCTCCCACTCCTCTGGGATGCTCCCAAATTGGATTTTCCTGTGTGGTAAAGCAGTGAGCTGCCAGATTTCTCTCAATTAGATATGTCAGAATTATGTTTTTAGAGCAAAATCGTATTTTCTGAGGTATTGTCATGCTTAACTCCCAATTCTTGGTGCTCAAAAGCAGCGATGTAAAACCTTTACTGTTTTTTTGCCCCATTACAAACATATTTGCAGCATGTGAATCCAGGTATTGTTGGGCCATGGGCAAGAGCTACAAATATGTATCTGAGAACACCTAACTAAAATTTAACCAGTGACTGGCACTTCTTCAATGTCTGTGGTCAGTGGTGGGTTAAGCCTTCATGTGATCTAGATTCTTTCCAAACAAAGGACCCCATCCCACAACAAGCCAAAGTTCTCCTGGCTCCTTGCTGATGCAAACTTGTGCTTTTCCATTAGTCTCTAAGCATCTCTGGTGGCAGGGGCCTCACTATGTGCACTTAGATCCAAACTTTGATGTCCATGAATCCTACCTTAATCTGTCCTTGGCTACACTCAGGCATGGTGTTGTCACTCATTTGGGTTTATTAATGCAGAATGACTCATCAATATATAAGTCCCTAAGCCCTGGTCTACACTAGGACTTTAGGTCGAATTTAGCAGCGTTAAATCGATTTAAACCTGCACCCGTCCACACAATGAAGCCCTTTATTTCGACTTAAAGGGCTCTTAAAATCGATTTCCTTACTCCACCCCTGACAAGTGGATTAGCGCTTAAATCGACGTTGCCGGCTCGAATTTGGGGTACTGTGGACACAATTCGATGGTATTGGCCTCCGGGAGCTATCCCAGAGTGCTCCATTCTGACCGCTCTGGACAGCACTCTCAACTCAGATGCACTGGCCAGGTAGACAGGAAAAGAACCGCGAACTTTTGAATCTCATTTCCTGTTTGGCCAGCGTGGCAAGCTGCAGGTGACCATGCAGAGCTCATCAGCACAGGTGACCATGATGGAGTCCCAGAATCGCAAAAGAGCTCCAGCATGGGCCGAACGGGAGGTACGGGATCTGATCGCTGTTTGGGGAGAGGAATCCGTGCTATCAGAACTCCGTTCCAGTTTTCGAAATGCCAAAACCTTTCTGAAAATCTCCCAGGGCATGAAGGACAGAGGCCATAACAGGGACCCGAAGCAGTGCCGCGTGAAACTGAAGGAGCTGAGGCAAGCCTACCAGAAAACCAGAGAGGCGAACAGCCGCTCTGGGTCAGAGCCCCAAACATGCCGCTTCTATGATGAGCTGCATGCCATTTTAGGGGGTTCAGCCACCACTACCCCAGCCGTGTTGTTTGACTCCTTCAATGGAGATGGAGGCAATACGGAAGTAGGTTTTGGGGACGAAGAAGATGATGATGAGGAGGTTGTAGATAGCTCACAGCAAGCAAGCGGAGAAACCGGTTTTCCCGACAGCCAGGAACTGTTTCTCACCCTAGACCTGGAGCCAGTACCCCCGAACCCACCCAAGGCTGCCTCCTGGACCCAGCAGGCGGAGAAGGGACCTCTGGTGAGTGTACCTTTTAAAATGCTATACATGGTTTAAAAGCAAGCATGTGAAAGGATTACTTTGCCCTGGCATTTGCGGTTCTCCTAGATGTAGTCCTAAAGCCTTTGCAAAAGGTTTCTGGGGAGGGCAGCCTTATTGCGTCCTTCATGGTAGGACACTTTACCACTCCAGGCCAGTAACACGTACTCGGGAATCACTGTAGAACAAAGCATTGCAGTGTATGTTTGCTGGCATTCAACCAAAATCCGTTCTTTATCTCTCTGTGTTATCCTCAGAAGAGTGAGATATAATTCATGGTCACCTGGTTGAAATAGAGTGCTTTTCTTCAGGGGACACTCAGAGGAGCCCATTCCTGCTGGGCTGTTTGCCTGTGGCTAAACAGAAATGTTCCCCGCTGTTAGCCACAGGGAGGGGAGAAGGTTGAGGGGGTAGTCACGCGGTGGGAGGAGGCAAAATGCGACCTTGTAACGAAAGCACATGTGCTATGTATGTAATGTTAACAGCAAGGTTTACCCTGAAAGAGTGTAGCGACTGTTTTATAAAATGTGTCTTTTTAAATACCGCTGTCCCTTTTTTTTTCTCCACCAGCTGCATGTGTTTCAATGATCACAGGATCTTCTCCTTCCCAGAGGCTAGTGAAGCTTAGAAAGAAAAAAAAACGCACTCGTGATGAAATGTTCTCCGAGCTCATGCTGTCCTCCCACACTGACAGAGCACAGACGAATGCGTGGAGGCAAATAATGTCAGAGTGCAGGAAAGCACAAAATGACCGGGAGGAGAGGTGGAGGGCTGAAGAGAGTAAGTGGCGGGCTGAAGACAGGGCTGAAGCTCAAATGTGGCGGCAGCGTGATGAGAGGAGGCAGGATTCAATGCTGAGGCTGCTGCAGGACCAAACCAGTATGCTCCAGTGTATGGTTGAGCTGCAGCAAAGGCAGCTGGAGCACAGACTGCCACTGCTGCCCCTCTGTAACCAACCGCCCTCCTCCCCAAGTTCCATAGCCTCCACACCCAGACGCCCAAGAACGCGGTGGGGGGGCCTCCGGCCAACCAGCCACTCCACCACAGAGGATTGCCCAAAAAAAAGAAGGCTGGCATTCAATAAATTTTAAAGTTGTAAACTTTTAAAGTGCTGTGCTTAAAGTGCTGTGTGGCATTTTCCTTCCCTCCTTCACCACCCCTCCTGGGATACCTTGGTAGTCATCTCCCTGTTTGTGTGATGAATGAATAACGAATGCATGACTGTGAAGCAGCAATGACTTTATTGCCTCTGCAAGCAATGATTAAAGGGAGGAGGGGAGGGTGGTTAGCTTACAGGGAAGTAGAGTGAACCAAGGGGCGGGGGGTTTCATCAAGGAGAAACAAACAGAACTTTCACACCGTAGCCTGGCCCGTCATGAAACTGGTTTTCAAAGCTTCTCTGATGCGTACCGCGCCCTCCTGTGCTCTTCTAACCGCCTTGGTGTCTGGCTGCGCGTAACCAGCAGCTAGGCAATTTGCCTCAACCTCCCACCCCGCCATAAACGTCTCCCCCTTACTCTCACAGATATTGTGGAGCACACAGCAAGCAGTAATAACAGTGGGAATATTGGTTTCGCTGAGGTCTAAGCGAGTCAGTAAACTGCGCCAGCGCGCCTTTAAACGTCCAAATGCACATTCTACCACCATTCTGCACTTGCTCAGCCTGTAGTTGAACAGCTCCTGACTACTGTCCAGGCTGCCTGTGTACGGCTTCATGAGCCATGGCATTAAGGGGTAGGCTGGGTCCCTAAGGATACATATAGGCATTTCAACATCCCCAACAGTTATTTTCTGGTCTGGGAATAAAGTCCCTTCCTGCAGCTTTTGAAACAGACCAGAGTTCCTGAAGATGCGAGCATCATGCTCCTTTCCCGGCCATCCCACGTTGATGTTGGTGAAACGTCCCTTGTGATCCACCAGAGCTTGCAGCACTATCGAAAAGTACCCCTTGCGGTTTATGTACTCGGCGGCTTGGTGCTCCGGTGCCAAGATAGGGATATGGGTTCCGTCTATAGCCCCACCACAGTTAGGGAATCCCATTGCAGCAAAGCCATCCACTATGACCTGCACATTTCCCAGGGGCACTACCCTTGATATCAGCAGATCTTTGATTGCGTGGGCTACTTGCATCACAGCAGCCCCCACAATAGATTTGCCCACTCCAAATTGATTCCCAACTGACCGGTAGCTGTCTGGCGTTGCAAGCTTCCACAGGGCTATCGCCACTCGCTTCTCAACTGTGAGGGCTGCTCTCATCTTGGTATTTATGCGCTTCAGGGCAGGGGAAAGCAAGTCACAAAGTTCCATGAAAGTGCCCCTACGCATGCGAAAGTTTCGCAGCCACTGGGAATCGTCCCAGACCTGCAACACTATGCGGTCCCACCAGTCTGTGCTTGTTTCCCGAGCCCAGAATCGGCGTTCCACAGCATGAACCTGCCCCATTAGCACCATGATGCATGCATTGTCAGGGCCCATGCTTTCAGAGAAATCTGTATCCATGTCCTGATCACTCACGGGACCGCGCTGACGTTGCCTCCTCGCCCGGTATCGCGTTGCCATGTTCTGGTGCTGCATATACTGCTGGATAATGCGTGTGGTGGTTAATGTGCTCCTAATTGCCAAAGTGAGCTGAGCGGGCTCCATGCTTGCCGTGGTATGGCGTCTGCACAGGTAACTCAGGAAAAAAGGCGCGAAATGATTGTCTGCCCTTGCTTTCACGGGGGGGGGGGGAGGGAGGGAACGGGGGGCTGACGATATGTACCCAGAACCACCCGCGACAATGTTTTAGCCCCATCAGGCATTGGGATCTCAACCCAGAATTCCAATGGGCAGCGGAGACTGCGGGAACTGTGGGATAGCTACCCACAGTGCAACGCTCCGGAAGTCGACGCTTGCCTCGGTACTGTGGAAGCGCTCCGCCGAGTTAATGCACTTAATGCACTTAGAGCATTTTCTGTGGGGACACACACACTCGAATATATAAAACCGATTTCTAAAAAACCGACTTCTATAAATTCGACCTAATTTCGTAGTGTAGACATACCCTAGGATAGTATATAGGGTTTCTAAGAAAACATTGAAAGGATGCAGCATTTTTGTGGTGAGTGGCATGGTGCAGTTTGGGTGTTTGTCACACTTGAAAAGCAAGCATGTGAGGTATCTCAGGGCTTGTCTACACATGGAGTAACTCTGGAACTATTCCAAAATAACTCAGTGTGTGGATGCTATTAGAAATCAGAGTTCCCTTTTTCAAAATAGCTTAATCCACTTTACAAGAACAATATTTTCAGAGAATATTTTCTACTATATGACATAGAAACTGACAATCGGAAGAGAGGGCATTAAACACTTGTGTTCTTCTGACAGTACTTTGCTCTAGTGACAGTGGATGGGGTTGAACCAAAACTCTGGTTCCTAACATCCTTGAACTTTGAGGAGGATGTACTTTGGAATTGTAACCCAGATCTCCACTTCACAATCTACAGTTCGATAAATCATAACTCTAGTCCCAATCAGTTTGCAAGTTTCGAATTGTTTGAACTCTACATTTACATCCACCTTTTGCAGCTTGTGCCTTTCTTTAATAACAACAGAAATCCTCACTTGAGATTGGAAATGCCAGTATCTTAAGAGTAGTCCAGCAGGAGCCAGGATCTCCATCTACCCAAGAAAAACAATTATATTAAGAGAGTGTAGAAAAAATATGCCAAACTTATCCAGTAGCTAGGACAGAGTGCGGTTAGAGTGGAGTGGAAAGCCAGTATCTACTGCCAAGGGCCCCAGTAGCAACAGTATATGACATTGAGTAAACAGATTAATATGCCACTAGATATTTGGTATTACTCCTATTTCAGCAAAAGACACACAGAGAAGTGAAAATGGAAGACACATTGAAAGAAATGGATTATTCCTAAGCATATTCAATATATATCTAGGTGTCACATCTCCAAACTGGTCTCATCCTCAGAGGATTCTTCATAAAACCTCTTTAGGTCAGGGGTGCTGGAAGAAATTTGTATAGTGTGGGTACTGAGAGCCATTGAACCTAACTGTAAACCCTGTTTATGATGGAAACCACTTCAAGCCACCCCTAGTTCCAGCACCTATGCTTTAGGTCCTTGTTTGTTGGTTAAAGCTTTTTCTAAGTGTTAAACTACAGTATCTTTCTGAGCCTCAGGTGATAGAGAGGATTGCATCTTTAATTAAAAAGAATGAGTGTCAGGGTAGTGGTGTTTCAAAATATCCAGGTGTACCCTAGGCCATTCAGATTACGAGGAACTAAATTTCAGTCATTGAAATTAGATTTTGTTAAATTAAGTGCTGAGGTTGCTGATTGTTATATGGCCAAAGTGGGAGTAGTTTTGGGTAGTCGGTTCACATATTAGGATGATGCTTATTTGTGTGGTCATCCCACCCTGTCTTTTTGAATTAAGTTACCATTTATTGAATTAGGGTTAACACTTTTTGGTACATTGTATTAAAAAAGGCACTTGTGTATGAGTAGATGTGGCACTATGTACCCTCTCTAGTAGGAGGAGGGATGCTAGTGAACTTCCTCCATTAGCATCCTTTGTAGCCATTCCTCCTGGAGAGAAACACATACACTTGTTCAAAATGCATTCTCCAGATTCAGGGTGGTTTTCCTGATCCAGGACCTCTTGTCCCCAGAGGATTCCAATCCTTAGGGAAGATTGGAAGGACTTGGCCAACTGAGGCTTCATAAAACTGGGCCTCATAACTTATTTTTCTGAGCTAAAGCTGGGAAGAACTTGTAGCTACAAGGAAACCCTGAGGATGGGGTGTTGAAAGACTTTTCCTGTCAAAGCCCACTTTGGAGTTGGGATGAACTCAGGTAAATGTATTGGTATGTACAGGTTCTTTTATTGTTTTTAATGTGCTTTCTAATGCTTTTAATCTTAAGAATAAAGTACACTTGTGTAGAAAGAGCTGTGTGGTAACTTATATCTGTAGCAATTGCTCCATTATCAGTCTCTGACAAGAAAGCAAGCAGGTCCGTTTAACTTTAGGCAGACTGTCTTTGCTGGGAAATAAACATGGAAGGCAGGGAACTGTGTAGTCTGAACCTATCCTGGCCAGAAGGGAATGAAATGTAACATGAGGGGAGAGGCAACATGAGGGGAGGTGGAAGCTGAGAGTGAGTGCTCTTGCCAGGACACCAAGGGGAAATACAGGCACAGTTGCTCTGAACTGTGACAGTATGTTCATCCCACCATTGGATGATCCCACCCATCATCTGGCATTGCATTGGCAGAGATAAGCAGTTAACCAGGTTCGCTGTGAGTTTCTTTGGAAGTTCAAGCTAATTATGAACTCCAATTCCTCCTGTCATAGGCCCTACTTTCCTTATCCTTTGCTGTGTTCAGAAGAGTCTGGAGTGCCTTTCTCCTCCTCCATCCTTCTCAGACAAAGTGGCCCTGCATGTTCATAGAGAGGAGAATGCAGGAATGGGCTGCTTTCTCCATGATCACTAACAGTGTTCTGTGGAGACAGGCAGGGGAACGAAAGTGCCTACATATGCATACTGCAACACAAGCTGGAAAAGCAAGGCTGTAATTAGTCACTGCAGGGAGCAAAGAATTTGAGAATTGTACAGGTAGTTGGAATTTGTGTGGGATATGGCAGGTGATGGGATGGGGGATCAGGAGTGTTGTGGGGAGAGGGATGACATTACCTCTTGCTAGCAATTCTGGAAAGAGGAATTGGGGTTTGTGCTGGGAGTGAGGAGTCAGTTCAATCTCTTACCGGGGAGTGACTAAAAGGTAAGGGAGGAATCGAGATTTGGGTGTGAAGGGCTCTGGTGGCATGGGATAAGGAGCTGAGGCATAGTGTGTCAGGTATGATTGGCTTGGAAAACTCCAGGAGGTAAGTGGGGCTAGAAATTGGACTCAACTCCTGTCATTCATGGGTTAGGAGGGGAAGTAATTATTGGTGGTAGTGGGGTCGCAAAATAAATGGAATTCATATAATAGAGCTGCAATTTAAAGGAACAGTAAATACACAGACTTACCTGCAACATTCACATTCCATATTTGATAATATTATAATATAATATTATGTAACTTAACAATCATATCTCCAAAAAGCAGTCCAGCTTTCTCAAACACTGTTGCTTGAAAGGAAAGGGTAGTGTCCCATACAGTAATACTTCA